CCTACATGTATGTTTTAATCAGATAGACGGAATCATATTTCCGTATTATTATATGATTGAATAATTCCTATCTTTCTGATTGGCTGAGATCCAACTATGTGGAAGAAATACTACGTTATATTCACCTGCACGTGACGTTGCAGGTGAATACAAGAAATTTATTTCCTCTACATTAAAATAGGTTTGGAAATTCCAAATTGATACAAATTGTTTGGGAAAGCTATTTAAACGTCTATGACTTTTTTTCATGTGAAAAAAACAACATAAACGAATATATATTTTCGGGTGAGGGTGGTTAGAGGGGTTGCAGGGACCCGCCTCCAACACTTTTACTGAACATTTTTACCTTTTTTCGGCTGTCAGTTTTCCCTGATAATACTCCTTCCTTTCAAAATTTATCCTATAAAAAAGACTGACATTATATTTTTTTCATGGCAACTAAAATAGATAATAAAAAAAAATTCAAATTGATACGACTGGTAAGGTTTGTTTACATTTTAATTATCATGATGCTTCTCTCTTGTATTTGGCTGGGACTTAATCAAATGCAAACAAGTAATGAGCTGTATCATTTTATCAGTGAATCATATAATAAAACAATTATTGCTGTTTTTTGTCAATACAATGATTTAGCCATCTTCGAAGTACAATATTCACCTCGCCCTTCGGACTCAGTGAATATTGTACTCCTCAGATGGCTGTATTGACCTCAAAAACCAGCAATAATTGTATAGTATATTAGAATAAAATAACAAACAATTGTTATGATCAATTAATAAGGTCAACCAAAATACAAACCAATATTATGATGCTTTATATTTACTTAGAGATCATTATAACGACTATAGAAGTACATCGAGTAAAGGAAAAAACTATAAATTGTTCACTAAAAGTAATTTTACATCTAGGCAGTATTTAAATATCAACGTGTCAACTGATACTATGATTACATTAGTAAGATTTAGAACCAGTAATCATAAATTACCAATAGAAATAGGCCGATGGAGTAATATACCTAAAACCAAAGACTATGTAGTCTATGCAATAAGGTATTGGAGACGAATTTCGTTATATTATGTCGTGTCCAGCTCTAAAGGATAGTAGAAAATTGTTAATCCCACCAACATATACAACTCGACCAAGTGCTTTCAGGTTTTCAAATTTATTTTCATGTGAAAAAGTATCCGTTATCAATAACCTTTGTAAATTCATTAATATAGTTAATAAGAGAGTTACCCCGGCGTCCAGGTTAATGTATATTATACAAATCCTAAGTTTTGAGTCCGAACATTATTTAATCTAAAACATTAAAAATCAACTAGTTAAACTATGTAAATCTATTGGGTTTATTATTGAGAGAGTTGGTTGCTTAATTTATGACACTGTCATTTTTCATCGTTTGTTTTATTTTTCTCACGCATGCTGTATTGTATTGTATTGTATTGTACATACTTCATGTTTGTATCTTCTCTATACTGTAGTGCAGTTTAAGAGAATAAACTATTGAACTGAGTAACGCAATGCTATGCTACATAAATTGCATGTAACATCGACTTATCTGTCAGAAGCCCGTCTTGGTTTGAAAATTATTACCGTCTTCCTTGGAAGACGGTATTGTATAGTTGAAGATTTTTACAGTCTTCGGACTATGCACTTCCTCTTTTTTGTGATTGGTAGAAAATGAATGATGAGAAAATTTTCAATTATTTCATTGGTTGAAATGCTGTTCAAGGCAAGGGAGATAACTTTCTGATGATCTAATTTTCGTACGACTTAACAATTTTGCAAGATTTTCAATCTTATAAAAATGACAAAACGAACAACAAAATCAGCAGTAATTAATTCCTAATAACATGAGTTTTTGTATAGTAATAAATAAAAAGATCTCTTTAATTTCATTATAAGTAAAATTTGATTTTAATTGCTTGCAGGCTTTACAATTTGTTATTATTCTTTTCCCCTTTCTTGTTTGAACAAGGGAATGGAATCAGCCGAGGTTTGCCGAAAGCTCTGGGCCAGTTTACGGAGATGACCGAGCGACAACCGTGGTAGGGCTAATGCCAGTAAAAAGCTAATGTAGAAATACAAAATCAAGAAATTCAAAAGAATTATACGGCCTGATAGTTGTAGATCAGTTCACTGTTTAAGATTGTTGCTAAAGACGGTAAGCTTTTTTAAAAAGCTCTACTTGTCATAATTATACTCGTCGCCCTCTTAAATTATATTGAATTAAATGAAAGACATTAACTTGAGTACATGTACACTTGGATACATCTAGTTGGTATATAAAGGAAAATGACTACATACGATTAATTTTTTCCCTTTCATATTCGTCGCACAAAAGGCATTTTTCTCGCCATTTTCGTCCATCTTCTTTGAGAGATCCCACCATACTCTTGTCTCATATTTTTTTTTACAAGGGTTAGGCCTCTTTTTCTAAAAGTTATGATGAGATCGAAACATAATTATGTTGATTATGAGACTCGGGTTAACTTTGCTCTGGTTTTACTTATTTGAACCCTTTCACAGATAAAGAGAGCGCTGGGAGATTTTCGAGTTTTATTTTACTTGGCCAGATCTCTCAGTGATCTCCCCATAGTCTTCATAATCTTCTCAAGGTTTTGACTTTAACTCTCAACGATTGCAAAGGTAATAAGTCTCTCAAAGAGCGAGAAAGATCTCTTGGATCTTCAATTGATCTCTTAGAGATCCTTCACTGCCAAGTGTTTTGAATGTCTCAAGGTAGAAATCTGAAAGAGCAAAGACATCGGCTGAGCTTTATTACTGGACACTGAATCGGAGATCAGTAAGAGATCAATGTAAATGAGAGATTGGAGATTAGTGTAATTTAATCGCACAGGCACTTTATGATCTCATATTAAGGCACATAGAAACTGTGTTTTAGTAGAGAAACATACGTTTTCAGAAAGATCATGCACTGTGGCAACGCACTTTGAAAAAATTACGCACTTTGAAAAATTTTTTCAAAGTGCGTTAAAATTGGGACAAAATCAACGCACTTTGAAAAATTTTTTCAAAGTGCGTTAAATTTGGGACCAACTCAACGCACTTTGAAATTTTTTTTCAAAGTGCGTTAAGAGTCTACATCAGTATATTTACCATGGAGATACTTAACGCACTTTGAAAAAAAATTAAATCATATTTTAGTAATGGAAAGATTTTATTTGTTATTTATCTTTCAAAAATCTTATGAATTGATTAACTCCCGTCGAAAAAAGGAGAAGACAGGTACAAGATCCCTCAGTCCAAATCTTTATCTTTTGAATACATAGGTGTCGGTAACAAACGGGGGAGGGGAGCAATGAACCCAAAAAGGGTAAGCTGCATTTTCAATGCTTATACGATGTATATATATATTTTTCCAGAATAAGTGGGGGGCTAAGCCTCTCCTCCCCTGGCCCGTTGCCCGGTCTCGATGTCCATGCTATACACAAAACATTTATATAATTATGTATTTACCTAACTGGTATGACGTTGAAAACTTTCAATATTAAATGAGTTAATTAAAACAGGTGAAAACTAGAAATATTGAAGTACAGTAAAACGTATGAGAGAGAAAATTTTTTCATTGTTTTGAACAATCAAATTGCCCCCTTTCTATTATGATAAATGCTAAGTTGCTTTAATGCTGTCCACTGTTAGTGCCCCCTTTACATCTTTACATATACTTATCAAAGACTAGAATTTAAAGAAAAATAAATTAATGATCTTAAACAATCGTCACTCTTTTTTTCAAGACCCTTTTCCCTTTTATTTTATCAAAACCTCAAATATTTAAAACGTCAACTTCTCAGGTCCTGAAGTGACTTCATCATAAAAAAGTCATCCATCCAGGATCTGTCATTTATCATACCGATTATTTGTAAGAATATTGATCAATCTACATTTTTTTTCAAAGTGCGTCAATATGGTCGATATCAACGCACTTTGAAAAAAATTAATTTTTTCAAAGTGCATTATAGCTTGGTCCCAAATTTAACGCACTTTGAAAATTTTTTTCAAAGTGCGTAATTTTTCAAAGTGCGTTGTAACAATGCACTAAATAAAATCCTTAATAAACATAAAGCGACTTTTGAAGACCTTTAAGAAATGGGTGATAGATCGGACAAGTTTTATGTCATCCAAAGGTCTTTCAGTGATATTTAGGTGTGTAAATGAGGCCTTTTAAATGTTCAAGAAAAGCATTTACACAAATGAAAAAAAATATTTCCGCATTAATATAAACATTCAAATTAATAAGCCCCATATCTTTCTTGGCTTTTCCATCGGTGGTATTTATCGACGGCTTCACAATATAGGACATTTGCCAACAATTAAAGTGTGTTGAATTTAATTAAAACACGTGCTTCACTACTGGAATAACGTGAAGGACACAAAAACCTTAGAAAGAAGATTTCTCCTTGCACTCACTGACAACACTATTCATCTTTGCTTTAAACGACGCAACAAAAACAATCTAATATGAATTGACAATACCTGTCATTTGTTATGCATGTGAACTCTAAATGACCCTACACATTGTTTTTGAGATCTTGTCACCATTTGTTTATCAAAATAAATATCGACTCTATCTATGTAGAAATATATTGTGTCGTTAATTTAAATAACATTATATCATCGGCTTTACATGTATATACAAGCATAATCTTGGTCATGATTTAAAATGAGGAAAAGCTACTCGAGATGCGGTGACATTTTTTTTTTCTTATACAAGTACATGTAATAACATACATGTAAATGTTGTCAACAGATCAATGCTGTGATCGCACCATGACAGCATGGGGGTTGTTTGTATCACCGTCTCTGTTTACTATGATTCAAGGTTGTCTATGTGTTGTATTTCTATGTACCCGATCTACATTTAGATGTCTAGTAATCAACAGTAAACCAACCCATTGAAGAGGGCACAGAATACGGGATAACTGTCATCTCTACACGTCACCTCTCTAGATTTCCCTGATTTATAACAAACTCTGATATACATGTATAAGATTTAGTATTTATTTTTAAGCCTGTCAACCACAAGGCGTGACAATATATAAATAATAATGACAACAAATTGAAAGCAATAATTTCCACCAAAATTACAAACTCAGCACTACAATAACTCCAAACACAGTCAAACAGTTAGATAACAAAATATAATATGACCACACTCCAAGTACTCATATGACTACAAGTGATTTAATATATGTTACAGAATCATTCACAGAAATCCCATTCAATCCATAAGCCGTGAATTCATTGTGTGATGAAAATGTTTCACTTCCAAGTTACAGATATAAATGGTTACTTATTTCAATATAATAAGCCTGTAAAACGATTAAGACAGCACTACATATAACGTACTGGGTAGTAGATAGACTGATAAATCAATTTGCAAATAAGAAAGAAAAGTTTTTATGAAGAGTTCTTGATGGAAATTATTCCCTTACAATGACAAAATTATTCAACAACTTTTTTGTTAAAACTCATTTTAACATTTTGAAAGACACTGGATATTTCTAATGAAATTGTATTTCCACCATTTTTATCAGTTGCTTTTCTTATTAGAAAATGTGGGCTTGCTTGAGGTGATTGCATTGATGTGCTACAGACAGACAGACATACGGTACATGCAATATAAGATGATAATCTACCGATACATTTCAATATGAGATAGTGATAGCAAAGAAACTAAGCAACAAACAGACTCCTCCTACATCACAGTACCATGTGCAGAATTACAGTCCAAAAATAAAGGTACATGTAAGCACAAGCTCAAACTGAAAGACTTATAATACTTAGTTAATAAATAATGAAGGAAAAATAGATCGAGTCAGAGTTACCTCTCTTATTTTTATCGGGTTAGTATTTAGAGGTGTAAACAAACAACAAAATCAATAAATGTTCTATTTATCCTATAGCTCAAGAGGGCTACAGGCAAGGAAATCAAACTTTGAACACAGCAAATCCTGGCAATAAACATAAATGTACAGTACAGAAAGTTTGAAGTCAAGAACATTTCAGTAAAATTTAAATACTGAAATGAAATATTTTTTTTAATCAGAAAAAATCAATCTGCATTCTTGAACTGAGGCAACATCAAATGCAACATATCAATAACAAAGAATGCAGAGACAGACATATCATTCATGTATTATACCAAACATTTCCATCTACATCATATTTCTGTTTCTCGAGAATTTAGTTAATCATTTTGGGAAAATCATGTTGTTGTTGTTCATTACCTGAGTTATAAATAGACTTGTGAGATCAATGACACACAAGATGCACTTGTCTCTACCAGGCAACACACAGTCTACAGTAATGCTATACATGTAAATGGGCACTGGTCTCAAAGAGATGGAACTAAATCACCAGCATTTATGATATTTATCATGATGGAATGCCATAAGGTACAATTATACATGAACAAGCTGTTCAAAGACTATGTTAAGCTTCTATCCAGCAAAGAAAGTGTATAAAAAGCCATGCTGGAGGCTCAGAGTTGAAGAATTCCAACCTTTTATCAATATCTCGTGAATTGGTCCATATACAGATGTGCTGTTTTCCTGAGAGAAGTGAATGAGATGAGTGTGAACACAAGGCCATCCTACTGTCTAAATAAACACAGGGAGAGAAGCTCTAGTTTACAATATCAGCACAGCTTCCCAGGACTCTCTCTCTCCTCTCACAAACCTGAGGAATACACCAATGTCACAATATTTTGGAGTTCCCCAAAGAAAAAACTTTGCAAGTAGCAAAGGTTCTGGTCTGTTTTCTGTAAGCCCCATTTTTCACTCAGGCCCAGCCATTGTCTTTGATCATGTGTGCAAGTTCAATGATAAATTTTCCCTCCTTGTATTTCTGACTAGATTCAAAGGCATGTTCCTGAAATATTTATATTGTATCTGATGAATTAATTTTCTCATAAATGTAGAGAATAAACAATATAAAGGAAAAACAATGCTGATTATTCTAAAATATAAAACAATATTTCAGTGAAAGCAAAATAATATTTCCCCTCCTATTAATCATCTTATCTTCTCTTTCACTTTTAACAAAATCAAAGTCTTTATTATGAAGATTGATGAAGAAAATAACCTTGTTAATTTGCTTTGTTTGTTTTTCTGCTTTGTATAATTAGTGACATAGCTTACATATTTCCATCCTAAGGTGGTTTTACAACATTCGCAGAAAATATCTGCCACAGCATGCAGTCCTGTCAGCAAGACTCGCTCTTCTGCCGGCCCACATCCAACATTCACCCTAAAAATAGACAGCCAATCATGTTCTTACAAAGAGATACCAACAGTAAACATTGCTGAGATTTGTCTTCAGATCTTCTTACTCATTGCTTCATCATTTAGCAGTCTTGTTACCTGGTTTACATGATAAAACTTCTAGGAAAAGTTTGTTTAAACTATTTCTCTGATATCAGTTTGTTTTGATATCACTTCTGTGTCATTACAAGAAATCCAGGCAATTATTTTCGCACATCAAACTACACAAATCCAAGATAGCTTTCAGATTCTCCTCCTTGCTTTGAAGCTAGTACAGACATTAGACATAAAAGATAACAATAGATATTTTATCTGTTATTTAGACATAACCTTAATGACTTCCCCTGACAAAGCTAGGTCAACCTCTGACCTACAAATGTCCATTACCAGATGATTTGTGAGAAGTCTGAGACTATCATGGTAATTAATTGAACCCTAGATCACTAGGTCAAAGACATCAAATCAAAGTGACCCATTATATTCAGTGCTGGTCATCTATACTGTATATGTGTTTATACTCTGATCTTTAAGTGTTAAAGAATCTTTAAGTAAGAGAAAAACAGAGATTTTAATACTATTTTTTTCCCCCAATATTTTTTCTCTTCACTGTCCAGGGGCAAGATTTGTTCCCCTCATTCATTTTATTATTATATGTATCACTGATTTTTTCATATTTTTTTTTTTTTTCTTTCTTTTCTCCCTTTTCATTTCTTGATTTTGATATCTTTCACAGTAAATTTTTTTAATCACAAAGAAGATATCTGCATCTAAAATTGTGATTAATTCCTCTTTCTTTCTTGATCACAAAGAAGATATCTGCATCTAAAATTGTGATTAATTCCTCTTTCTTTCTTGATCCCCATAAAAAACAAAGTTTGGAAGAAGTGCAGGTTTCTCTACAGAACAATAAAATCTAGCATTTTCTGCTCAAGGTGCCTTTCTCCGAGGGTCTGTATTATTGATTCTCCATCAATGTCACAGCAAATTTTCTCATTTATTCCAGTAAGATTTTCCAAAGCTCTTTTCAGGCTTAATGTTCAGTTTTATCAAACAAGCTGTCAGTTTCCAAGTAATAAGTGTTTTCTGAGGTGATAACTATAATTTCCGGCCTTACAGATTTCCGGAACATAAAGTAGGAATACTTACACCGAGTTGAAAAGATAAGCTCTTCCTTGGCTTCCTTGGAAGGACTGGAAGAACAAAATATATTGAAGGATATTACAGGATTTCACAGCATTTATCAATCACATATTGAAGGATGTTACATGTACAGGATTTAACAGCATTTTATTGGTACATATATTGTAGAATATTTCAGGATCATATGAGTACATATATATATTTAGACAGCAGTAGGTTAACCCAGATTTAACATCGATACATGTATATTGGTATATACCAGTATATACATTTGTAGCAGGATTTACACTGTTACAGGATCATATGGGTACATATATGGCTTCAAGACAATATGAAAAGATAGCAATTTTTGTCTCTCATTAATTATATGACGACCATACTAAGAGGTGGAAAAGAAGGAAGTTAAGGCACCTGCTGAGCAGATGGGGTGTATGCTGTTGTTTGACTTTTTCCAGCTTTCTTTTTTACAAAAAACAGTTAAAGATATTCCAATATGATTATACTATATACCTCTTGTAATCCCCAACTATATGCAAAACAAATATCAATTGTTAACAATAATAAAGAGATCTAGAATGTTGATTCCCCTGGAGTTAAATGTTAAGAACCTGCCAGCAATATAGTACATGTATGCATATGTATGAAGGAACCTGAATATATATACATTTTTTTATTAATTCTTGTATTTAAAATTGTGTAAATTGTTATAATGGGAGCAAATATTATAAACATTAAGAGTCCCATGTTAACATTTTACGAAATTTCACCTTTACAGTGTTATCTAATAAAATCTTAACATGATAAACAAGTTGTAAACTGCGGAGTTGACACAGTGTCCTTGGCTCTACACTGTTTATAGTAATTCAGATAAATATTATCGGTAAGTCTCTTGTCAGCCCCACAAGATAAACTATATGACGGAAAGTTGTGTTGTCTGTGATCAAAGCAACCAATGTTTCAGTTCAACAAGTTCATGTTTTGACGTGACATGCACTTTGCACTTTTATACCTGATTAATCAGAGGGCTGCACATTTAGACTTGTACTTGGCCCTTACTGCCTTTGAGCCAGAAGGGATCTAGCTTTTTCCTGCCTCCACCTACAGTGTGGCACAGGGCCTGAGTTTATAAGTCTCTACTCCCATAGTAGGATCAACCCAAGATACTACTGGACTTTGGAAATGATATGAAACTGGCATATAAAACATACATTCTAAATGTATAACAAATCCCCCTTCATGTAAAAGGATGCACATTACATATGTAGAAGACAAGATGTTGAAAAGATATCAGGGAAGGAAAACACAGATTTTAAAGTTGTTTTGTTATCATAGTTGTTTAAACAACATTATCATGACAGGGAAGTTTGACAACAAGCGTTTTACAAGTGACTGTCATTTCAACTTGCATTATCACGATTCACCTGTACACGAGCTAAAATTACCTCTCATTAGCAGCTATGTCGTAAATGTCATCGTCCCTAGACATACCATTTATACATAAATATAATATATACGTATATATCTATGTACTGGTATGATTACATGATACATATATAGACTCCCCCAGTAATATTGAATCTGTCACTGTTTGATAAAGCTCTGTACTTTTGTTATCAAGTAATCTCTTTATATCCATGGGGATTAAACCAAACAAAAAAAACCAACAAAAACATTTACCCTAAATGTTAGTAGTGGGATGTAATTTCTGCCTAACTCTCTGTCTCGCTTACACAAAAACAATAAAGATCTAATTTACTTCCCAGTGGGGAAATGCCTTGTTTACAAAATTCTTCACTTTACGGCCAGAAATACTTCAGTGTATAAAAGTCAATTGTGAGAATACAACACTTTGTGAGGATATTTAATACAGATAACAGCTATCACGGTTTTCTGACTAGACATAAAAGTGTTGTATTATTAGAGGAGTACTGTATACAAACAAAAGAAAATGCTCTGATTTGGATAAAAACCAAATACAATAGACTTTAAAAAAAATGATTTTGAATTTCAGAAAGCATAAGAAATGATTAAAAATGTTACAAAAGAGACTCATATTTCCAAGTACATGTTGCACATTATTGCACCTCATTGTAGATTATACTCACATCATGAGATTATAATTACTTATAATTACCTACCTTTGAGATAAGTTCATCATGATTAGCCAGGTGGGCCCGGCAATGAACACAGCTATACTTTCGGTGGCATCCATTTGGCAAATAAGCTTGAAAGGTTTTCACCATCTTGGAAAATATTAGACATTAAAACTTTATGCACCAGTTCCAGAAATCCCAATATTCTTCTTCCCCGTCTCTTTGTTTGGAGCTTTGATTCTTTGTCACTGCACATTCACCGGACAGCTGACACAACAAATACAGCTTTTCTCACCTGGAAACGAAATCAATATACCTATCATCTCCGTAAACAGAACAAATCTACCCTCAGACTCAGTATCTTAGGGTCAAGCGAGTTCACTGGGATATTAATCATGAATCGGTACTCATACAATAGTAATATACTGGCAGTGCTCTGTAAAATTTAGCTATCAGATATAATGAAAACAGGTACTCTCTGCCAGCACAGTATGGTTATTGCCTGCTTACTACCACTGGTAGAGGTCTAAGTGTAATATGTGCTAACTATATTGTCAATACTTAACAGGTGATCCAATAGTATCAATGCAGGAACTGGCTGTCTGCTACAAAATCTAATCCAATCACACACAGCAATCAAACTATGTGGCTACATAATCCTACTTGTATGTCTTTGAAATATTTTTTTTTTTGCAACATTCCACGGACTACCCTCCAAAATGCACATCCACTTGAAAACTGTCGAGAAAAACCTTAGTGCAATGTACAAATGCTTTAAATTCTGTCAGACAGGATGTTAAGATATTGCAGGAGACAACTGGGTGAGTTCAGATCTAAGATGTACATCTGCAGAAAACATGGAAAACAACAATAACAATTTCCAGCCTTGCCAACAGCTTGTGTACCTTACTACTCTACCTATTGCCTTTGTCTAATGCTTCAACACCAATATCTGAAGAATGTACCTTTAGATCAAGCACCTGCAATTACCGTGCATCTAATCAATTGCCAATACTCTAGTTTTTCTGGTTAGCTGCTGAGAGATGAACTAAAAGCATAACACTAGCAGCAGACACTTATTCCTAAAATGATAAGAATGGATGTATTCCTGCAGACTTTATAATTGGCAATGCATTACATGTATTTCAAACCCTGTGTCTGTAGTAAAATTTCTTATAAGCCCACTATATTTTCTCTCTTTACTGTAAAGTGAATACTTGAAGTAAAGAAATTAGTTTTGACTTTCAAGAACACTTTAACATTACTTCACCTACATTCATGGCAAACTTGCATGTACATGAAATTACTTGGTAAAATGATGTATGCTGGATATGTGCATACAGGCACATATACAGCATATCAAATATAATCCCCAAGAAAACCAATTCAGTATAGGTTAACATGTTTAATGAGCAAAAATTCTAAAAAAAAAAAAAAATCTATTGATGTAATAACTACCAGTAAACTCACCACATCTACTTAGTGTAAATAAATTAGAAAGAAAAAGAAGGTAAAATACATTGCACTGACCACTGGCACTCATTCAGGGGTTAGGCAAAATAAAATGAGTAATAAACCATGTACTCTAAAATTTGCAGCAAGATGATTTTTTGACCTTTAATTACAATTAACCTCTTGACTAATTTGACTTCCCCTCTCCCTAAAATTGTGAAGGGAAGGAATCTCCAAAATGTGTGGGTGTCACAACAGGACAGACCATACGTGATACATGACTTCATTCTTTACTGGATTGTCTTTCTAAGACTGATCTACTTCATGAATATGGACATTCATTTGATCTAATTGCTGATCAAGTTTTAATTTGCCAGACAGGGGATCTCTTATGTTGATGTACTGAACTCTATAAAGGTTAATGACATAGGTGAACAGTGCAGCCTTTTGTCTTGTCTACGGAGAACAAAACAAGATATTTAATTCATTAACGTGGGTTCAATAATGAAATGGGATTGAAAAAGAACAAAAACAAAAAAATCCATTTAAACAGCCTGAATGGGTTGTTTATCCAGAGCTGTTTAACTGTGATACAGAGCAGAACAAAAAGATCAACTTTGTTATAAGTGCAAACCATGCACAAACATTAAGTACCAGCAAAAAATTTCCATGCCTTCCCAGGAAAAAAGAAATCATGTTTTGAACTTGCCCACGTCATATTTCTAAAAAATATTCCTTTCTAATTTTTTTTTATTATGAAAGAGATATTAATTTTTTTTTTGTAATAATAGCTTTAAATTATGTAACTTTATCAGGTGGCCTTTTTGTGACTCATTGATGACTAGGGTACACTATAATGGCTACTGATGAGTCAGTTTGTCCTATAAGCCTCTGTTTTGTTGCAGGAGCAGCAAACATCAATAAATCTTTCATTTCTCTCCTTGTCTTTATAAAGATGTAAACACTTTCAAACTGTGAAATGTATTCCTTCTTTTTCTAAGTCAATTCAATCATTTACCATTCCTTCAAGTCCTTTTTAGTGATAAAACAAGATTTATGAGTCAGCCCCTGGGAAGCCAAAAGACCAGTCTTAATTGGGTTTATATCTTATTTCCCTTAAATTGGATAACCTGTCTGATAAATCTGTATATAGCCACTCTATATATAGGAGACCAAGTTGGGGGCATTCAGGGAGAAAGCCACTGTTGAAGGGTATTGATTAGAGAAGTCTCTGTTATACCCGATCAATGAGCTCTGAAATTTGTCTCTCTGTCCTTAGCATATTCCAACATGAATAATCCATCATACAGTAAAGCTTATATTTATTACAGACATATTTATATTAGTAACATAAGTACTTAACATGAAAAAAATACATGTAAGTATCTAGTTAAATCTGAAATATTCTGCAATTTATTTAATGTTTTGTAGAAAGTAATCTGACAACATCTTTTAATCATGTTGGAACAGTAAGTAAAATTTTTCATGTGTATCCAAAACTTGTAGAAACTTGACAGATCCTGCAAACCTTTTAAAACAAATTTGGATTTTGATAATTACACAGCAAATCTTCTGTTCATAAAATAGTTGTATATTTAGTCATTCTTCAAGCAAGTCCGTAAACTGTGTAAACTAACATAGATCTAATCTAACCCATATATAGAGTTAATACCAACTTTCTTTTTTCATATATCATGTGTAATCATATAAGAAGTCAATGACTTTATGAAAAAGGAAAAGAGTATATTTGAACCATTGCCAAACACTTAACATTATCTACATATATAACAGCTGTAAGCTGCTTGTCAAAACCCTAGTGCCCTATTATCAAGAATACTGCATTAAACTACTGCCCTTTATAAGTCCTTTGTGTTTTATTTTATACATACTTATAAGTCTCCTATACAAACCACTGATTATGTTCCCCAAACGGAGTTTTGGAACACAATGTTTTTACTATATTTCTTATTATTAAGGTCTTTTGTCTCCAGCGGAAGACCCTTCTATTATTCTTCGGTTTCTTTTTTACCTTTATTATTATTATTATTATTATTATTTTTATTCTTTTTTCTTCTTACAAAATTTGTGCAGACGATTTCTCGGAGATGGCTCGTTCGATTTGCTTCAAATTTTCACAGTCGATGCGTTTCCATCTGAAGTTAATTCCGGCAAATTTTTTTGGGGAAATTCACTTCCGGTCGGGAGTTATCGCCCTTTGATCAAAATTTGGAGGACCTCCTTGTCTGTGATGGAACTCAAAAACGGCTCAAGCTAGAAAGCTGAAATTTTTAGTGATGATAGAGGACATGTTGCCACGTTGCAACATGGTCAGGATATTTTCTGGAAGTGCCTAGTATGGAAGCTCGGTAGGGGTCAAAATTTAGGACACGTTTTATGAGTGATTTTTTGAGACATTTTGTATCATATCTTTTAAAATATAAATATTTTGTTAAAACATACTGAACAACATTTGTGCAAAATATCAAGATCTTTCATATGATATCAAGAAAAATGTGCTGACTCATCAAATTAAGGGCGGAAAGGGGCCAACAGTTTTTATTCAATAACTTTTTAAAAGTCAATATTTTGTAATACATTACTGAAGCAAAGATGTTTATCTCAACCATCTACAACTATATATTATGATTTCCATGTCGTATGGTACATAATTAGGGGCCACAAGGGGCCAGAATGCTAAATCTTTGATGCTTTATATGTCGAAAGGGAGAAATATTTTGATAAGCAATATTGAACAAAAGTTGTTCAAAATAATGTTCTAAACAATATGCAACCTTTCATTTTTTGCTAAACGTCCCCATTAAGGAGTTGAAGGGTTGGCCCCTAAAAATTTCTTTTTCTAATATCTCAAAAACGAAAAAGAATTTCTGAACAATTGTTGAACACAAAATGTTCAAAATCTTAAGATCTTTAAGATGAGATCCCGAAAAAGGGGCTGGGCACTCGAATTAGGGGCCAAGAGGGGCCAAAAGTCTTCAATCGATAACTCTTTATCGGTTAATATTTTGTAATACATTGCTGAAGCAAAGATGTTCATCTCAACCATCTACAACTATATATTATGATTTCCATGTCGTATAGTACATAATTAGGGGCCATAAGGGGCCAGAATGCTAAATCTTTGATGCTTTATATCTGGAAAGGGAGAAATATTTTGATAAGCAATATTGAACAAAAGTTGTTCAAAATAATGTTCTAAACAACATGCAACCTTTCATTTTTTGCTAAACGTCCCCATTAAGGAGTTGAAGGGTTGGCCCCTAAAAATTTCTTTTTCTAATATCTCAAAAACGAAAAAGAATTTCTGAACAATTGTTGATCACAAAATGTTCAAAATCTTAAGATCTTAAAGATGAGATCCCGAAAAAGGGGCTGGGCACTCGAATTAGGGGCCAAGAGGGGCCAAAAGTCTTCAATCGATAACTCTTTATCAGTTAATATTTTGTAATACATTACTGAAGCAAAGATGTTCATCTCAACCATCTACAACTATATATTATGATTTCCATGTCGTATGGTACATAATTAGGGGCCACAAGGGGCCAGAATGCTAAATCTTTGATGCTTTATATGTCGAAAGGGAGAAATATTTTGATAAGCAATATTGAACAAAAGTTGTTCAAAATAATGTTCTGAACAATATGCAACCTTTCATTTTTTGCTAAACGTCCCCATTAAGGAGTTGAAGGGTTGGCCCCTAAAAATTTCTTTTTCTAATATCTCGAAAAAGAATTTCTGAACAATTGTTGAACACAAAATGTTCAAAATCTTAAGATCTTAAAGATGAGATCCCGAAAAAGGGGCTGGGCACTCGAATTAGGGGCC